TCATGTAGTTTGGTATTGCATGATCAAGTTGTTATCTAAAAAAATCTGTACAATCTGAACTGATTGGTTAAATTTGCCAGATAAATGCTTCAAAGGAACAAATAGCAAGAATCCCTATATGAGCTTCAAAACCAAACAAAGAGCACAGAAGTGAAGAGCATAGCTTATTGACAAATTATTTATAAAGAAGATTTAAGGGTTTTAAATTATTCTAATTCAGTACTAGTCAGTGGCAAAATGTAATTGACAAAAGAGTTTCTGTGATTCTTAGTTTCATTAATGAATCACATGTGGTAGTACTTTGAGAAAATGTTGCCCACTCAGCAACAAATAGTTTCTCTTCCCCCTCTTATCCCCCTTCCATCACCTCCTCTCCATTCCTCTTGTCTATTTTTGGTTTTAGGGACCGAATCAAAGGTCTCTTATGCTAGAAAAGTGCTCCTCAACTGAGCTTTGTCTCCAGTCTAGCAGATATATTTTGAGAGAGGCAGACCTCACCTGAATATTATGTTTGGTTGTCTATTTTGTGAGACTTTTGATTAATGGGACCAAATTAAGAGAACAGAGCAAGCTGACCAGGAAGTTCAGAGTCCATGTTGACAGGTGGTGAGAAGGAGGTGATTGGCTTGGGAAAAAAATAGTAGAGTGAATGTCTACAGTGGTGACAGTCTTGAGGTAATGTGGAGATGTGTCAATTATGGAGAAAGATCTGACTTCACTGTGGTCTTAGGGATACACATGGAGTGAGTGGGCAGATGATACAGACTGAAAAGTTTGGAGCCAGTAGAAAGAAAGCATTTCACTGTGAAATAGAGCTGTGACTTGGGTTGCCAATGGCATGTTGTGAAAAGACTTTGTAGCTTTAGGTAGATGATAATACTAAATGTCATATGCTGTCCTTCCAACTAGGAGTGTTTGACTCTTAAAATGATTCTTCACTCCTCCAAGAAGAAAAGGAGTTCAGAAGGATTGTAAGCAGTTGGGGAAAATCCCTTCTAATATATATTCCTTTTAATAACTTGTGGTTTATTGACAATGCCCATCCATCTGAGAATCTGATTTTTTTTGTCCTACTACTAAGTCTAATTCTTCATTTGTCATTGGATAGTTAGAAAGAGGCACAGAAATAAGAATCCACTTTTTTTTTTTTTTTTTTAATTTCTTTGAATTTCTAGCTGGTACAGCTTTTCTAGACCTATACATATTAAAATCTCTGCTGATATGTATGTGTTTTCAGTTTCATTTTTAGGAGGAAAAATGAAGCTCCATGTTAACTTACTCTATTTTTTAAAATTTATATATGACAGCAGAATGCATTACAATTCTTATTACACATATAGAGCACAATTTTTCATCTCTCTGGTTGTATACAAAGTATATTCACACCAATTCGTGTCTTCATACATGTACTTCGGAATAATAATGACCATCACATTCCACCGTCATTTCTAACCCCACGCTCCCTCCCTTCCTCTCCAACCCCTCTGCCCTATCTAGAGTTTCTCTATTCCTCCCGTGCTCCCTCTCCCTATTCCACACTTGAGGCACAGAAATAAGAATCCTCTTTTTTTTTTTTTTAAATTTCTTTGAATTTCTAGCTGGTACAGCTTTTCTAGACTTATACATATTAAAATCTCAAGCTCTATTTCATAGTGAAATGCAATTCAGATACTGATGACCACACTTGTTTGAAATATGTTGTTGTTCAAGGTCATGAGAAGGTAGCTTGTATAATAGTTAAAAGTACACACTTAGAGGCTAGAGGTATAGCTCAGTGAGGGAGCACTTCCCTAGCATGGGCAACCTAAAGTACATACCTGGAACATGACTGTTTAAACTGTAGATGGGAATTGACCTTCAGCAAGTAATTTAATCTCTATATCCCTCAATTTCCACATATCTAATGGGGTGTTAATAATAGTGCTTGCCTTTGAGATTTGCCCTGAGGATGTTGCTTGGGATGTTGCCTGGTAGGTAGTAAGTACCATATAAAGTGTCACTGTTGTTATTTAAAGAGCCTATATACATGTCTACCTAGCTTCAAAGCTGAAATCTTAGTGTATGAACATTATTGTATGTCAGTATAACTACAAATTTTGTGTTTTGGTGGCTTATCTGTATGTTAATATTAGGAGTATCATTAGAAATACTTTTTGTTTCAGTCACTGAAGGAAATACTACTCTAAACTCCCCCTGAATAAGATGTAACCTAGGTTATTCTAGTTACGAATTCCATTAGAATAATATGAAAGTAGTAGTTTTTTTTGTTTTTTTTTTGGTGAGGTTTTGTTTGTTTTTATCTCTTTTTTTTTTTTAATTTTTTATTGTGGGTTGTTCAAAACATTACAAATTTCTTGACATATCATATTCCACACTTTGATTCAAGTGGGTTATGAACTCCCACCTTCACCCCATACACAGATTGCAGAATCACATCAGTTACACATCCATTGATGTAGTTTTTAAGAAAAGTCTTCCCTAAATGTTAAAATTATGGGAAAATTTTGCCCGTATCTATTTTTCTTACTCTATGTAAGTGAATGTGTAAGTTTCTTCCCTTCTCCTTTGTCACCCCAAAGTGCCATGTCTTTTTAGGCAATTATGTGAGTGCCTTAACAAAATTTGGTGGTAATATAACCAAAGTAGACTATCACCTTTTTGATTGTTTTCTTGTTTTGGCGGTCCCCTAAGAGTTGATGGAAAAGGATCTCAGTATGAATCTTTTTATCCACTGTCCTTGATGTCTAGTAATAATCAATAATTTGAGCAGATGGATGACTTTCCTCTCCTTGAAGCCTGTAACATTTTTATGGTCCTGATATATTAGCTGTGTTATCAAAATGCTTAAGTTCATCTGGGAAAAGTGTTAACAACTCACTTACATTCATGTATAATAGATTGCATCTGCTATGTAGTTTTTGAAAGTGCAATCCAGCAATGGGAAGTTTACTCCTTCAGTGTTCCTGTTTGAAGACAACAAAAATTGTTGTGCCTGTCACTGCAGTGTGTCAGTGGAGATAACTAGGAGTTGGTTCTATAGTTTGGGCCTGTCCCAGGTTCCTGGGATATCAACTCTGCCTCTTGTGCTTTCTTTGCATCTCTATCAGCTGCTTTGTGGCCTTTCCCATTGGGTTCCCCCATTCACTTCATTCTCCTGTTTATCTTTCTCTTGCTTTTCTGACTTAACCTCTTAGGGGCTTTATCTGCCTGGAGGTATGAAGGTTGAATGGGGATGAGCCTTGGGCACTAGATTACAATTTTCCCACCTCAGCACAAGATGACCAGTTGCTTATACTTTTGGAGTATCTCAATGCTTAAGAATACAACAGAATAAGTCCTGAGTGGGCCCAGATGTCAAAGTTTGGCTTTATTTGAACCAGTTATAACACTCATGTCTGGAATTATGAAACAATTCAGGGGATCTTGACTCTAGACAGCATTTAAAAATTATTTTTATAGCTCTCCATTTTAGATCTGGTCTATTAGATGTCTGATTGATTAGTTGAAAAGAACAAGTTTCTATCATGCAGAGTCTGACATAAATTGAAATTTTTAGTTATTTCTTAGGACATTTACAGACTCCTAAATACCAAATGACACTTTTATTGTTAAATCTTATCTCTATTTAAGATGGAGAGTAAATCATAGTAAAGCTAAATATAATAATAATGGCCAAATCATATAATGGCCATCTGTTAGCCTAAATAGGAATCAGTAGTTCCAACTGTTCTTGTGCTACCAAGCAACAATCGTTTTTTAAGATTTTAAAACTTTAATTTTTTGTTGTTGTTGTTACTGGATTTACTTATTTTCAATTAAATGTGATTGAAGCTTTGATTCCACATGTGTTTGAATTCTAAAGTGGAGAATTGTCATTTCAATTTTTCTAGACTTCTTTCTTCTCCTATGATTACTAAATAGAAAGATTTTTTTGAGCTGCATGCTGTGTCTACCCCTTCCTACTGATCTGTAAGCTTTTCCATTGGCTTTCTTTCTGTTTCCTGCTGCTTTCTTGCTTCATAATTGAAGGGAGGATTCAGACCCATTCAGGTAACAAACTACTGGTTCTGCATGGCCTCTTTATTTCTCTGTCCTATTATTATTATTATTAGATTGGTTGTTTGCTGATAAATAAATACATTCATGTTGGAAATATGCTATTGGTCTACAGTTTCATAGCTTTTAGGCTTGCAGTGAGAACCATAAATAACTATAGGTAGTGGTTGCTGTTTGAGAGATTGGAGTTCTGCTCATTCTAGACCATTCCAGGCCTGTCTAGATTTTCTACTTTGATTGCAAACTGTTCTAGAAAGGTTAGGATGGCATTTTGTCACCTTTTTCAAAAAGAACGCTTACTTCGGCATGTGACAACATATAGATCATTTTAATTTTCCTTGAATGAACTGGGATGAAATTTTTACGTTCAGGGCTGGGAATGCAGCTCTGAGTTAGAGCACTTGCCTACCTTGTATGAGGGCCTCAATTTGATTCCAAATACAAGAGGGAGAACACTTGAGAAAAACTTTATTATTCAGAGAGACTTCTTAAAACATTTTATAAAACTTGGGTGGTAATTTTTGGGGGAACTACTTTTAATTTTTAACGAGTTGATTATGAACCACCTATTATGAAAGAGCAACAGTTATACATCAGAAAAGTTTTAGAGAAACATCAGATACTCTTTGAATATATTTATTATGTTTTTATATTGCATTTAAAAATTAATAATATGGTCCAGGACATTCATTTTAAAACAGCTGAGGCTTTAAAGTTGAGATTACCCCATTGTTTTCAAATGTGAAGACACTGATCAGAACTTTACTTAATATATGAAGTATGTTTTGTGAACCCATTCATTAGGCAGTTTATTCTCTTTTCATGTATATTATATTTCGAATTGGAGTCCATCAGATTATTATTAGTGGAAAAAGGAGAAAACTCAAGATAGTAAAACATATATATTCCCCTTAATTAAAAAAAATTCTTTCTCCCCCTCCCAGTTTTTCCAGAGGCCTCAAATTCAGCCTCCTCGAGCTACCATCCCAAACAGCAGTCCTTCCATTCGTCCTGGTGCACAGACACCCACTGCAGTGTACCAGACCAATCAGCACATCATGATGGTTAACCATCTGCCTATGCCGTACCCAGTACCCCAGGGTCCTCAGTACTGCATACCACAGGTAAAGTATCGCTCAGGCCCAGCTAGGCCATTGATAAAGTGGGAATTAACCCAGATTCTCATCAGAGGCTAGCAGGGAGGGTGGTTGATATCATTGATTTTTTGGTAATGTGTAAATTTTCTCATTGGTTATGAAGATCTAGCCATTTGGTCATTTCCCATAAAATTACAATAAGATAATTGAATATCTTCTTACCAAAAAAATTTGTGTGTATATGTGTGTATTTACTCAAAAATTCCTAAGATGATGGAGACATGTAGGTCTTACCTTTAGTTATTTTCTTCTTGTGATGTCATTTACTGGCACTAAAAGTTAACAGCCAGAAGTCATTTTGTAGTGAGCTGATGGTTGCCTGTGTTGATTTGCTGTAAGTTTTACCTTCATTTTGCTTGCATCTGGATGGGAAGCAAACATTTTGATTATGTATAACCACCCATATCTTCGCCTCATTTAAATGATCTCACACACACACACACACACACACACACACACACATATTACTTGGTTTTTCCATAGTAAGCTACCTTCATATTATGTATAAACGTCTATACTTTTTCTCTTCTAGTACCGTCATAGTGGCCCCCCTTATGTTGGGCCTCCACAACAATATCCAGTTCAGCCACCGGGACCGGGTCCTTTTTATCCTGGACCAGGACCTGGGGACTTCCCTAATGCTTATGGTAAGTAGGAAAAAAATCAAACAACTTCTGCTAGTTTGTTGTATTCAATTTGTTATTTCAAATGTTAGTTTAGGCATTGAAGCTTACTTGTGGGAAGGATTTGGAAATAAAATCTTGCAAACTTCTGTCTTGAAAGCTACTTTTTTTTTTAAAGAGAGTGGCTTACAAGGAAAGTGTATTATAGGAGTATATTTAGTTCATGACACCTTCTGAACGAGTTGGTAGTTCTGGTTGAATGAGGCCATGTGTCAGTCGTGATATCTGCTATGATGGCATAAATATACTTATTTCCCTTTGATTTATTTTTCTTCAGGTATTTACCTCCACCCTGTATCTGAGAGACTTTAGTAATGTCTGTCTTTCCCACTGGGATGTAATATCCACAAAGGCAGGGATTTTAGTTTGTTTTATTTACTGCTATATCCCCAGCTCCTGAAACAGTGATTAGTAGGCACTTGGAGAGTGTATGTGGGAGGACTGAGGATAACTCAGTGAACTTATGACTCTTTACCTGCAAAATTGTGATATAATCTGTGCCATGGGAAGGTTTGAGTAAAAGCATTCAAGTAAAAATGCTTTGAGAAATTAAAGGTGTTTTTAATGCCAAACTTATATATGACATTTAAGCCAATACTGAACCAAGATGTATTAAGAAGTACTTATATTTCCAATAAATTTTTATTGTATTTGACACTTAATTTAATTCTACAGTATTATAAGGGATATAATCAGTGGATATTAGAAAAATTAAGCTTAAAAATTAAATAAGCATTGGTCTCCCCCCAACTCCCAATACCAGCAAAGCAGACCTTAAAATTTTAACTGGCTTAATATAGTAATCTGTCCATTAGCCAGTTTCCTTACATTGAGATTTAATAGCTTAGTTAAGAACCTTTACATAAAATTGATTTGTATTATAATATCCCAGGGAAGTTTTTTTTTTAGTTTTGAGGTGAAATCAGCAAAGCAACCATGTATACCTGACTTTAATTATTTAATTAATTTAATTTAAATAATTATTTAATTAATTTAATTAATTAACATTTAATTAAAATTTAATTAATTAATATTGCCTTTTGAAATTGCCATTTCAAATATGTATGTTAAACCTCATTAAATGCCTCAAATATATGTTTATTTGATATTTTCAGAACAGCATCTATTTCAAATACGTGAGTTTTTTGTTTGTTTTTTGGGGTTTTTGTTTTTTGCTGGGGATCAAACCCAGAGCCTTGCATATGCTAAAAGTAAGTGTTTTCCTCTGAGAAAAATCTCCAGCCCCATGTATATAAATTTTAAGGTAAAAATAACACATCCAATACCCAGTTGGTTTGGGGGGGGGCAAGGCAGTACCTGGGGAGACAGGGTCTCACTGAGTTGCTTAGCGCCTTAATGTTGCTGAGGCTGGCTTTGAACTTGTGATCCTCCTTCCTGTCTCATCCTCTTGAGCCACTGGGATTACACGCTTGTGCCACTGGCACCTATTCCAGTTTTTGAGATAAAATATTGCTGGTACTGTTCAAATATTCCTAATGTATCCCTTGAATTGAGCTATAAGTCACTGTTTTCATACAGTGTATTGATCCTTATTCTGAAAATTTAAATGAAAGTAATTTGTAAGTATAACATTGGCTATCTTTTTTATTATTTTTAAAATAGAAAAAATTGTAAGATGAGCTTCTTTCTTTTAATACTTATTTTTTCAATTTAAGTGGGCACAATATCTTTTTTTTGTATTTATGTGGTGCTGAGGATCAAACTCAGTGCCTCAAGCATGATAGGTGAACATTCTACCACTGAGCCACAACCCCAGCCCCTAAGATGAGCTTCTTAGAATAAACATACTAGTATTAAAGAATATTTCTCTTTTAGTACCATGTTACAAAGAGAGTGTAATTATTTCTTATAATTATAAAATCATTTTTTAAAAGGTTTCTGTTTGCTCATAGATTATGTAAATCACCTATGGACTCAGAAAACAACATGGGTCAAATTATTACTACAAGTTTCTAACTGCCCTCTCTATTGCTTTTTATAAATGACTGCAGTGTATAAACTATGGATGAGTTTACTAGTCATGAAATCATTTGTAGATTTGATTATACAATGTTATACCATATTTTGGCTTGCTTTATTTCTGTTAGAAATGATCATTTTAATGAAAATGAACTGTGTTGAGGTTCACTTATTGATGTCTGTTCTGTTTAATAAGAATTCTGTTTTCCCCAGTAAATTCTTTTGCAAGTCCAACAACCATCTAATGGGTAATTTATTCTCTGGATTTAAACACTCTATGATCTTAAATTACTTTATTTCAGCCAAGTGTGTTGTCCTACACGAGACCTTGTCTGAAAAAATTTTAAAAGGGCTGGGCAAAATTCCTGGGTTCAACCCCAAGTACCCCCCCCCCAAAAAAAAGACAAGAAAAGTTTATTTTATTATGAAAATTGTTAATGACAAAAATCGAAATTATAGAAAATATATAAAGGTGAAATAGCCAGTTTCTTTTCATTCCCATTCCCTCAAGAAGCAACATTTCATGGTTTGATTTATATTTTTCCATTTATATCAAGTGTACATAGAACTGTTCATAATATTCTAAAACTTTCTGGAGGTTTATCAATCCCTCCTGCTCACAGAATGTTCATAAACATTTCATTACATATAGGATTTTGTTTTTGGAATGAGTCATAATTTATTTAATCCTTTACTGTTAGAAGTGTAGATTATTTTCACAATTTGGGTAGCCGTTTCAGATTTCAAGTTAGGCAGTAGTAAAAATCTTTGTATCATAATGAGAGGGTCTGGTGCAGTTGTTTCCATCAGTTATAAGTTCCTCAGCTGTAACATCTGGGGACAGCTGTTCTGGTCTTCACGGTCCAGAAGCTGTGAATATTCCACTTCCTATTCCCTGTTTTTGGAACCTTTTCTCCTCTTTCTACTCTTAGGTCTTTGCTTTCATCATTTACCTCTTCTGTTGGTATGGATTCAAAATGGATGTGGGAATAGGATCAGAGTTTGTGTCCTGTTCTGAGACAGAAAACCATCCACTGGCAAAACCTATTAGGAACAGATCCTGAGACTTGTTCCTTCTTGCTGTGCTGCTGGAGTTTATGAATTGGATGGTCTTCTTTCCAGAGGTTTTTTTTTTTTTTTTTTGTTGTTTTTTTTTTGGGGGGGGGGGGGGGGTTAATGCTGGGGATTGAACCCAGGGCCTTGTGCATGTGAGGCAAGCATACCACTAACTGAGTTCTATCCCCAGCCCCTTCCTTTCCATTTTTAGCTTTATATTCCACTCTAGCATGCTGCCATTTTATTTCCATATGTAGTTGAACTCTTGAATAATGATTCTCAAGTATTTTTGTCTTCATCAATCTCTTTAATCATGATCCAGAAGTTCTCCTAGATCATTATAATTCCTGGAGTGTTTGTATAGTTTCGAAGAAAATGAACTAATCATAGTATTTACTCTATAAACTTTTCAGTTTTTCTCTTGTTGGTGTTTCTTAAACACTTTGAGGCCTCTTGTGTCATACAAATACCTAATGGAGACATGACATTATTTTTAGGTCAATCCTATGGGATTTTGGCCCAAAGATGGCGAATTTAGATTCATGGGCAAAAGAGGGTGGAATGGTTAATAGGTAGTCATTGCAATAATGTTGGTAAAGGGGGAACAAAAAAGGGGGGGGGGGGGAAGAAAGATCGAGAATTAAGCATAGTTACAGTTCCTATTCACTCTTGCTTCAGACCAGTATATTTCACTTTCTTCTAGTTTTATATGATTTCCTCCTCTCTGCCATCTTTTCCTGAACTCTTTTGGGGTTTTTGTGTCAACCTAGCCATTGAACCACTATGTTCATCTTCATTTCTGTAGAAAATTCAAAGTTCCAGATGTTTTTAGAAGGCCTATAATGTGTAAAACATCGTGAATAGGTTTTTTATGGAATGCAGATGTTAAAATATTTCCCTTGGGCTAGGGTTGTAGGTCATTGGTGGAGCACTTGCCTAGCATGTGTGAGGCACTGGGTTTGATTCTCCATACCACATAAATTTTATATATATATGTCCAATGACTACTAAAAAGAAAATATTAAAAAAATAAAAAGATATTTCCCTGTCTTTCTAGATCTTACCATACATTTGTTTCATATTTATGCTTTCGTTTTACCAATGAGAAGAAACCTAACCATTGGTTACACTAGTAGTTCCAGACCTTTTAATACCATAGGCATGTATAATGAATAAAAAATGAAATAAATGAGGAGACACAAAGGACTTTTACATTTTTATTTTTGTCAATAAGATCTTTACAGAAAATTGCCATTTACTGTTAGTATTTTAATATAAGAAAGCTATTTTAACAACAAAAGAGTAGTACTGAAATTTTTTTCTTTTTTTTGCAGTATCTGGGGTTGCAGTACGAGGCAAGCATTTCTACCACAGAAATACATACCCAGCCGCTTTTTCATTTTTCATTTTGAGACGATATCTGGTTTAGTTGCCTGCTTAAGCTTGAACTTGCAATCTCCCTAGATTAGCATGAATACCTGATCTTAGCCAAGCCACACTGCTGACCTGTATGGCATTTTTGGGCCTTAAGTAATGCTTTTTGTTGAACCATTGAATAGTTGGGATTACAGGTATTTGCCACCAGGACTGGTGGACTAAAATAATTTAAAAACAGGCATAGTTCTTTATAAAAATTGAAGTTGGAAAACCTATAAGAATATTTATGTGTATTTCATGGTTATTATTTTTGTATTTTTTTTTAATAAATGACAGCAGAATGCATTACAATTCTTATTACATGTATATAGCAGAATTTTCACATCTTTGGTTGTATATAAAGTATGTTGACACCAATTCGTGTCTTCACGTATGTACTTTGGATGATGGTGTCTGTCACATTTCATCATCCTTACTAATCCCCTGCCCCTTTCCTTTCCCGCTCACACCTCTGCCCTATCTAGAATTCATCAATTCCTCCCATGTTCCCCTTCCCTATCCCACTATGAGTCAACCTCCTTATATCAGATTAAACATTCGGCATTTGTTTTTTTGGGATTGACTAACTTTGCTTAGTATTATCTTCTCCAGTGCCGTCCATTTACTTGCAAATGCCATGCTTTTATTCTCTTTTATTGCTGAGTAAAATTCCCATGGTTATTATTATATAAATTTTGCCACACATCATTTATACCTTTTAGATAAGTTGGGGTTTATGAGCCACTGATGTAGGTCAGCAGATTTTCTGTAAGGGACCGGATATTAAATATCTCAGGCTTTGCAGGCTGTATGGTACCTATTGCAACTATTCAAACTCTGTCTTTATAATGTAAAAGCAGCCTTAGCTGCCAGGTGCTTTGGTAGTGCCTGCCTGTACCAGCTATTTGGGAGCCCTGAAGCGTAAGGATTGCAAGATCAAGTAACCTGGATTACTTAGTGTTATTCTGTCTCAAAGTAAAATGAAAAGGGGTGGGAATGTAGCTTAGTGTTAGAGCACTTGCCTAGCATGCATAAGGCCCTGGGTTTTTCATGCTTTAGCACCACACAAAATAAAGAAAACAAAAACAAAAAAAACCATTCACAGTAGGTAAACTGCTATGTAGGAATGTCTTTCAATACATGGGTTTTTTTTTTTTTTTTTTGGTTCCAGGGATTGAACCTTGAACCCAGGGGCACTTAACCACTGGAGCCACATTGCACTTTTTAAATTTAAAGACAGCATCTTGCCGTGTGTCTGAGGCTGGCTTTGAACTCACAATTCTCCTGCTTCAGCCTCCCAAGCCTGTGGAATTATTATATGCATGTGCCACCATCCTTGGCCCCAATTCAGCTTTATTCAGAAATAAATGGTGGTAGGATGGGTTTGGCCCTCAGACTATAGTTGAAAGACTGATCTAATCAAACCTACTTCATTCCATGCATAGGAAACCGGAGAAACAGAGATAATAAATAACTTTATTATCTGATAAATTGTATGCAAAAATTATTCTGTGTGTGTGTGTGTGTTTTAGTGTAACTGGGGATCAAATCCAGGCTTTGTACCTGTCACATTTTTAATAGAACAAAAAGTATATTTCAATGTTCCTGTTGTTTGTTAGGGTAGATTTCTTCTGCTGGTGCCCACATTTGAGAAGAAGACTTCATCTTTTACTTGATTGAGTTTAACCACACTGTATTGAAAAAACACCCATTTCTGTCAGATTTATTCTGCAGCTGTTCATTAGGCATGTGATATACTACCCTTCTTGCCAATTGTGTTGACTCAAAAATGCTTCATTAGAAGAATGCTATATCTGTCTGTTTGTTTGTTTATTTATTTATTTTAAAGAGAGTTCACCTTTGACATCTTATTTTACTTAGCTTGAAAAATATGGGAAGGTGAGCAGATTATGTTGCTTGTCTAGCTGCATTTGAAACCAATTTTCGGGGTTAGTTTTCTGAGTTTCGTAGCTAATGATGTAATAGGGGACTATAAAATTATTAAAGCTCTACTGTGAGTATAATTTACTTGCTGGTAGAAGATGTCTATTTGGGGTTTTTTGTTGTTTTTCTTTGTAAGTTTGCATTGAACTTAACTGAAACTCTAGTCTTGCCCTATACCTACCTCTTTTCTAAATACGATTCTCTAAACCTGATTCATATCTTTAAGGTCTTGATACTGCAAATCTTACTGCTTCCAAGAAATTTTCACTTCAAGATATTATGATGGTGGTGAGGATGTTGATCATATAAATGACAGTGATAATAAGGCCAACAGTATTGTTTGTTACTAACACAGATTTTTTTCTGTACCTTTACCTGAACCTTCATGCACATTTATTTTCTTTTTCATATCCTTGCTCCTACAGTAGACCCATCCTTTTATGCACATGTTAGATTCCATCCTATACCCACTTAAAGCTGTCACTATGCTATTCCTCTTTTCCCCACATTGTCACCCGTTAACAGATGATATGTTTTTTATGCCAATATTAAATTTGTTTCTTTTGGATGCCTTATTGTTCTTTAGCAATAGCCCCTTTTCACCATTTACCTTCCACAAGAAAGCTTTCAAGAAAAACAGTTATCTATCCTCACTGACTTCATTTTCTTTTGTCATTTTTACTTATTGACTCTGTCCACATCAGCCTACCTCTACCCTATCACCTATCTACCCAAACACCTTTTTAGGGATAACCAGTGATTTCTACTTTTAACAAATCTTGAGTTGCACTTTCAGGACCTTTTGACACAGTTGTACACTTCTTCATTCTTGTATGGTTTTCTTCATTTCAACCACTGCCTTTCCATTTCCTTTGCTGATTTTCCTCCTTGTTTTCTCCCCTAACAAAGATTTCATCTTTTGGCTGCTCCTGCTGCTGCTGTTAAAAAAAAAAAAAAAAGTATACTAATTTCATAAACTATCTAATCTTGTGGTTTATGTTATCTGTATTCTAGCAATTATTAAAAGGGTATATCCTAGGTCATACCTGTCCTATGACTGTAGATTTGTGTCTTTTTTTGCTTATTTGGTATTTCCATTTGAAGGTTTAATAAACATCTCAAACTTGCTCAAAATTGAACTCTTGATTTATTTCCCTTATTTTTCCTCATTTCCATAAATAATGTCTCTGTTCTTTCACTTGCTTAGGCAAAACACTTTCATAGTTTTTCCTAAGTCGTCTTCGTCTCACACTAGCATCCATCTCTTCATCATATCTTCATACTCTACTTTCAAAATATGCAGTTTCTCCTCACTCCTAAGCACTTAGTTTGATAGTAATTACATCATTTAAGTTTTGAATGTGAAAAGGTTCATTGGGAGTACCAGGGATGGAAGGTATTTTCAGGCACATGGGCAGTATAGTCAAAGGCATGAACAAAGTGAAGGAGATTGATTTTGTTCAATTTGGTTGAGATTGGTGTACTCCAAGGATGTAGTAAGAATACGTTAGAACTAGGGCAGCGGGTTCCATAAGTGAGAACGTGGAGTTTGGCCACTGTCTTTAGGCCACTTGTTCATTCCCCTCCCCACAAACTTTAGGACATTTCCCAGGTTTTAATCATGGCTCCCTGTGGCCTGGTGCTCCATCAGTAAGAATCTCACCATCCTCTTCTCCCCAGGATGATTAGGATGATTTTTCCCCTAGCAAGCCCCCACACAGACTCACTTTTATTTAAGAGTCACTGTTGCAGGTAGTGGACTGGCAGAATATGATGTTTTAAAAGCAGTACTATAGCTCAGTTTATGTTTTAGAAAGATAACCCTCCTGTCAATCCACAGGGGAGTTCTGTGTGTAGTTGTTTTCATATTAGATGTTTATGAATGTTCAAGAAGTTGCCTATTTTTGGAGTAATTTCTTGACTACTTTAGTAACTGGAGGAGAGCTTGTGGGAAGAAATTACTCCGAATGTTGAGGAGATAATGTTTGTTTACTTTTTAAAAGGGATTCTCTAGTGACACAGTGTCATTGATGGTCTTACAATGTGTTTGACAAAATAACTGAATGCTTCCTTTTATTTTTTTCAATTTTTTAGGAACGCCTTTTTATCCAAGTCAGCCAGTTTATCAGTCAGCACCTATCATAGTGCCTACACAGCAACAGCCCCCTCCAGCCAAGAGAGAGAAAAAAACTGTAAGATATCTTTATTAATTTTTTTATTTAAAAAAGGCACATTATTCACTTATCAAATAATTTTACTAAATTCTTATTCATCTCAGTTTACATAAGTGTTATTTTGTTGTTGTTGTTTGTTTTTTTAAATTCTTCCCTGATAGCCTCACCATTTAATTCTACCTGGAGGATTTTTATTGGCATGTTATTGAGAGGTTGTACTTAGCGTTTGCTTGATATCAGCTTTCACCATTCACTGGGCTATATGACAGCCTTAGAACTGATGATTTAGTGTGCCAAGGTCTCATTCAGTGGGAGGAATATTAGCTCAGTTCTTATATACTGACCATCTTTTACCACCAATCCTAATTAGCTCCCTGCTAACTAATAGAAAAAATAAAAGGAGCCAAAATATTAAAAAAAACAACAAAAACATCCTTTTTGTGAAATAGATTTAAAAGAACAAATCAGCATTTAGATGTTTTCTAAATTTTAAAAACAAAAGACTGAGACTTTGTCTAATAAGTTATGCCCGAGAGATTTAAGTATAGAGTATAGAAACATAAAATTCAAATTGCAGAATATTTTTGTAAAAGAGAGGCTTGTGATATTTTATAAAATGGATGACGTTTATAATCAAGACACTCCCACATTCATACAGAATAAAGTAGATGGAAATAATGTTACAGCAATACTTTTGAAGCACTCTAATAAAACTGAATGAGGTTTAAAATGTGATATTTTATTTTTAGGACCAAATTACTTGTACGTGTTCATGTCATTATAAACAGGACACACCAGTGTAGTTTCTTGACTCTGCAAGAAATTGTACAGTTTGTATAGTTTCTTGTAGAGTCAAGAAACTATGCTTTGGAAATGATGAATCAGCATGCTACAATTTGGACTTAAAACAATAATTTCATAATGCAGAAAAATGAATAAAAGTGATAATTAAAATGGAAATCAGTAATAATAGATGTTACTGTTAAATAAACTAGAATAAATGAAGCAATACTTAAAACTATAGTAGAAACAAGTTTCTATACCTGAAAAATTAGCTGATGTATAAATTTCAATTGAAGAGTCACTCACTCCCCTCTAAATTTCATATTCAGATGATTTTGTAGTGAATTCTGAGAAATCATCCAAGAAACTTTACCTGAATTAAGCTATACAGGTCACGAACAGCAGAGGAGGCCCTTCATATCAGGATGGATTGTCAGGACCTGTTCTGACTTCGATAAAGCACCTTCTCCACTGACATCTATAAGCATAGGGGCCTTAAAAAATTAAAATGAGACCACTCACTGTTCTGTGATTACCATTTTTTTTTTTTTAAAAAAAGTACATCTTGATGATTATTCCATATCAGTATGGTAGGTTCTTTTTTACTGATATTTAATTGCAAAGATGTAGGACAGTTTTTTTTAACTATTCTGTTCTTGATTTGCCTTTTTGACATTTTGGTATCTTCTCTGGGAAAAATAATACTTCAGTGAGCTTACTTACAAAGTATTGGGTAAATTTCTATTCCTATATTGCAGGATGTGTTAGAGAATCATTTAGGTTATGTAAAACTTTATTTTGCCTAGTAACTTCTAAATGTGAAAACTGTTTTGTGAACTCTGTAAATAAAATTAATATGACTGTTTTGTTAAACAAGTGTAAATATTTTGCAGTTTTGATCTAGAAATTCAGCCAAGTAGGTTCCATTATGGCTTATTATTTTCATTAGTTCTCCTCAGAGGTAATGGTCTAAATTTCTTTGAATAGCCCTATATGTTTCTGTGATTGAAGTAATTTCAGATGTAGTGATTATGAACTTGATGGTTGATAGGTTTTTCAGTTTATACCTTTAACTCATATGCCTGTAAATCTGCTATGTAGACACCCATCTCTTCCTTTGCCATTTTATTACTCTTGTAGATAAGAATTCGAGATCCAAACCAGGGAGGTAAAGACATAACTGAAGAGATTATGTCTGGAGGTGGAAGCAGAAATCCTACTCCACCTATAGGGAGACCCACTTCCACACCCACTCCTCCTCAGGTAAGGCAGAGCGAGCCATGATGGACAATGGTGTTGATTTGTTCACTAAATGCTACTGAACTCTTCTTTTATCTATAGCTACTTTCTGTGCTTTCCATTTCCATCAGTTGTCTCATAGCCTCGAATATCTAAATGGTATTTAAATAGACATATTATTTCTCTTTGCAAATTGTTACAACTCCAGATTTTTATTGGTAATATTTCTATGTATTGTCTTCACATTCAGAGCACAGCTGCTGCCACTATTCCTAATGAACTATGATACCAAAAGGAGCTGCATTCCTATGGAAATCTCATCATTAAATGAGTATTTTATGTTTTCAGTATGGAACCTGAGGAATTAAATGTTGCACTATGTAACATTAAGGTTGAGAATTTAAACATTTTTACCAGTGTTGCTTACAAACGAAAGTTTGCCTGTGTCATTCAGAGCATATTTGGATGTATAACAGATGTACTTCTCACCTTTGAAGAGTACATAAATCAGCTTCTCGAATGGAAAGTGTTGTCTTTAATTATTTACAAGGGTTATTTGTAAATTCTGTCAGGCACAATCTTGGTGAATGTGGTTATGTTGGTCTCCTAAGAATTTGCTTTCTTATTTTTAGAAATCAAGACATTGTAGGAGGAGTTGGAATTTAGTAAGTTGTAAATTTGCAATACAGAATGGAATTCCCCAAATCTGAGAAAGTTTTTAATTTCATTAGTGCGTCACCTTAAATTGTGATAAATGATTCAGAGTTCAGTGTTTTTCAAATCTTTGAAATTCTCTAACGTTTGAGCCCGGAATGTAAAAAGGAAAGCAAAGTTATTAAGGAGTAGGGAACTACCTGTTTCCCTTTTATGGCTGGATGATGAGATTCCTTCGAGCCTGATTTATAAACAAATGATACAGATTCTCCAATATAAGATATTTTCAAATAGCAAACTGTTGTCTTGATTTTAGTAGTATAAGTTTAAAAATATTCTTAAATATTGAGCTCACAGATAGATGTCTTAAGAGTCCCTTGAAAATTTTATGAATTTGAATTGTCCTACAATTTAATCCTCTGTTATAATGATATGTTTTAACTTGGAAATATTGTTAGTCTCTGGCTGATGATTATCTCAGACTTCCATTATCCAGATGAGTACAAAAGTGGCTGTCTAGATTTGTGATTTGTAAGATCATATTAATGATTGTTCTGGAGCTCTGTACCATTCCCTATTTTCCCCTCAGCAACTGCTCTGAAGTCTGTCTCTTCCCTGGATGTAAGCATGAGACAGGCAGAATTTCCAAACTGAAATTATTTACTTAGGTGCTCTATTAGGTGAGGGTATTCTATGACAAAAATTTGCGATCAGGACAGTCACATTTTAGTCTTTATTGTCAAATATTAATTAAAATATACTGTCAAGAAGTATAGTTGACACCCTATGTTGATTTGTATTTAAATTCTTATCTTAAACATGTATTTATCTTTTTGCATTTAAATTTCTTAAGAGGTATGGGTTTGTTTTCCTTTTTATGTTTCAACCTCTTAAGCCTATCCTATTTTGATTATTTCTCTGTCCTTAGCTGCAGTAATGACTTTACTTTCTATCTTTCTCCAGGGACTGTGGACCTAAACATGAGCTGATGTGTCTCAGTAATCATAAAAGTATATTAAATATACACTTTGGGCTGAGAAATGTCCTTAGTCAATAATAGTGATGTTGGTAATTCTCTTTGAGAATTGTAGTATTATCTATAAAACTTAAGGTTAGTAGGTGATTTGCATTTAAATCCACACTTTGTAAATCCATTGTCCTTTCAAGTGCATGAAATTCATGTAAGGAGGGAATAAATTTTTAACAGATGTGTACTAGAAATATATTGAAATATATCTTTTTCCTAACACAACAACAGTGCAAGCATGAAGATAACTGATAATGACATCATTTTCTGGAAAAATAATAGAAAGTGGGGCACATGGTGAGAGAGGGCAAACATGGTTAAGGAAAATAGTTATTCAACTGTTGATCCAGTGTTTCAAAAGAAGGTAGAAATACAGTGTTTCAAAAGAAGGTAGAAATCCTTCCATATGTTTAACAAAAATGCTGTTAAGTTTTATGTTTTATTTATTTTGGCAACAAATTCCATTAACAGATAGCACAGTGCCAGCCAAAGAAAATCAAACAGATTCAGCGTCAGGGGTTTTAATTTCAGCACAATTCCAAACAGCTCCTGAACCACATCACTGCTGAAGGGACAGCCCTCTGCATCCGAACTTAGTTCTAAAAAGTTCCAAGGGGCTTACAGGGTGCCTCCCTATCACTGAGTTAGTTCTCGTCTCTTCAAGGGACAGAATTAACAGCACAGACTCAATAGTGTCAGATCCAGAGACCCATCAATGGATGAAATAGTACAAAGGGTGTAAGGGAGAGAGAAGAGACAGGCAGCTCTTCAAGCTTCAATGCCTGGATTTATAATAAAACACAATGTAGAGTGCACAAGGGATATTTGTTGAAGGATGCACTGAGTTTGATTTTGGCAAGCTCTTAAGCTGTTGTGATATTTTCTAATTTGGTCTTGACATCTTTCAAGAGTGGCTGTAAATCTATATAGGCCACTCTGTAGGAGAGCTTTGACCAGGGGCAAGTTAGGTTTGGATGTGTTGGTCAAGAAGGCACAACAAGGAAATTAAACCAAAATATATGGATCCCCAGCACCACCAAAAAAAAAAAAAAAACAGGGAAAGTGTGGGGGGTGGGGGTGGAGTATTTTTTTATCCCTTGGAGGTTATTGATCTTGTCAGGAGGTCAATGGAAAGCCTAGAGGCATTAAGGAGCTCAACCAGCAGGGAGTAGAAGAAGAAATAAAGATCTGTGGGCCATGCCTTTATTAAGCTCTATGGGTGTTCTCTCTTAGGCTTCCCATGTGGTTGTGGTTTGGCTAATCTAAAGAAAACAGCCTTGAAAGTGAAACTGATTTACCCTGGTGTTAACCAGTAGGTTTTATCATGGTCAACAGCTGTGCAATGTGTTGGGTTTTCAATCAGTGAGATGAGAAGCAACCTATATCATGGGGCAGGTTTTATTTAGGCAAAGCCCAAAGATTGCCACTGGGTTTCTCATAACTTATGTTTGATGCTTAGGCACTAACTATATTAAAGACGTTCATGACAAAAGCTAATGGTTCATTGGCAAACTGCATTGGGTTTATATGAGGAAAATGGGGAGGAGAAACACATTTTTTTGCTGCAGCTGATTTTTTCCTAAGGAGTAATGAATGGAATTTGAAACTGCCCTTCGGGATTTTTATATGTCAGCTGTGTATAAAATCTGCATGTGTGTATACATGGACCCTTACAGATGATCCTAATGCATAGATTTAGGTGTTCTCTGGTAGATATCATGGAGAGAGGTAGAGTACTGGATGTTGGTCTCTGTCACTTAGATTTATGACCTGTGATAAGAATATTAAACCCTTAAGCCCCTATTTTTTCATATGTAAAATGAAAGATTTTGCTGAATAAGCTCATAATTTCTTTTTATCTCAAAATAGAAGGGGAAAAATTGTTACTTTTTTCCAGCAACAAATCCCTTAGCTGTTGCTGAGGGCAACAAGGTACAAGGAGTATTCCTGTACTAAGAAGTGTGCAGCTGCCTGATAGTCTTTAGACTGTTAGGAACGAGTGGTATATCAAAGTCATTAAATTTTTTTTTAAATGAAGTCGACATCTTTCTTTTTCTTATGTTCCTTTGTCTTTCTCATCTTTCTTTTATCTTTTTCAGTTTGTGTTTTTTTGGTTTTTGGCTTGGTGTTTTAAAATTTTTCTTATAGTAAAACAAAGTTATAAGTTAGGAAGGGGTCTTGAGCAGATAAAAGTTGGGAAACTATTGATTGCTCTAATATCTCAGGAGATACAGATAGCCTGTCTTGTCAGTAGGTTATTTAGTCTTACACTTGATATCTGGATATCTCAAACTCTGACCATTTCTTAATCAGTTCATTTCATGCTTTAGCAATATTAGTTTCTTAAAGGTAGGTTGAAAGCACTGGTAATAATATTCATGTTATAAGTTCATATGTACAGTAATGAGGTGAGTTCCTGCATACTGAAGTCGAACGTAATGTAATATAAGTTTAGTCTTAAGTTTTAAAGCACCATTTTGTTATCTCAGTTATAAGCACTGGTGAATTAATACCATTCTTTTCCCTGAAACATACAGGTATAGTTTTTAGTGTTGACTGCAATAAGATAATGGTTATTTTATTAAATCACACTTCATTTAAAATTTTTTTTTTTTAGTTTTATATGGATACAATATCTTTATTTATTTATTTTTATGTGATCTGAGGATCGAACCCAATGCCTCACACATGCCAGGCAAGTGCTCTACCACTGAGCCACAACCCCAGCCCAACACTTCATTTTTAATAGTTGAGCATTTATAACCTTCCTTGACTTAAAAATGTACTTTTCATTAACATGAAAACCTTATAAAGTTAATAGAATCAAAAGTGGGGTGAATTCTCTCAGTGTTTTTAACTGTGATATCGTAGTGAACAGAGCCTTTAGGTTGTTAAACTGTAGTTTAACCCGAATTGTACAGTCAGTCAGTGTTTCCGACTTAGAGTTGTGGAACAGGGTTGTTTATTTCACCCAGGTCTGTTTTCCTTAGGGTTTTATTAAGATTCTCCAGTAAGAATTTCCTAAAGGAATTGGAAAATCAGAATTTGACTTTTAAGATTCCTTATATTATTCATTTTTGGAAGTCAGGTACAAGTACATTTTAAGTTTTTTGGGTATCCCAATAAAAACTCTCTTTGAGAACATTAATCAAACTAAAATTTATGTCTTCCCTCTTAAGTAAACTATGTTTTCACATAATTCCTCAAATTTTATAATAGTCTTTGCTTTGACTTCACTTTGATGCTCCATGTCAGAATCCATTGTTGTCTGTGTGACAGTGCCTGTTTTCACTGCCCACTTTCAATCAGATATGAAGAAGTGATCTTGGAGACTCATCCTTCA